GCCCCCGGTGGCGGCCCAGGTCGGGGCGCCCCTTGAGCTGCTGCCCCAGCCCGCGCCTTTCGACAACAGTTCCAAGAGGCCTGGACTGCGGACACTGAAGAAGATGGGTCAGTGGCAGGCACAGGTGCCCGGGCTGAGGTGGGGGGCCGAGGGGTGCGGGAATGGGGTGTTCTGGGAGTCGTCCGTGACTTCTCGGACTGCGTGGGGCTGTGGGGGAGTACGGCATGGGGTGGAAAACCACTGATGTCTGGAGGTCATTGCGGACTCGGGGTGGAGTGGTCAGTCGGGGTGCCTGGGATCCTAGCGAGGTGCCCTGGACGTTCCCTGGCCTCCTGGCAGGCTGGGCGCGAGTCAGGTCTCAGGGTGCGGATCTGCAAGCCTGGAGGGCCAAGTGGGATAGGCTGACTTGGGGTGCCCTCATCTGCCTTCACCCCCACCCTGCCCCTTGTGAGGTCCGCGGAGGACCTGAGCGTCATCCTGGGTTCCTGACAGCCCTTAGATGGAGTGGGGTTGTTTAGATAAGGTTGTTTTTGGAAGATGCTGGGGCCCCCCAACCAGCCCCCAATCCCAGCCCCCTGGGCCAGCGTGCCTGCCGGACTGGTCTCACTAGTGGGGAATCAGAAAGCCAGAGTGCTTATCTCTGATTTGGCGTGAGTCACTCACAAGGCCTGTAGCTGTGGCTTGCTGAGCATGTCCAGGAGCAGGCTCCAGGCTGGGAAGCTTTTTAGTGTGCTGTCCCCCAAGCCTCCTCTCCTCCCGGAGAGATGGGTGGTCTCACCCCCACTTTATAGAGCAGGAAACTGATGCAGACAAGTCCAGGAATTTGTCCATGCCCACACAGTTCAGAGAGGGGCAACCGTCTGGGTGAAGGGTGGTTGAGGAGCTTGTATGAGAAAGCATCAACTGTCAAGTGGCAAGTTGGAACTTCTGTTGATGGAAGGGTTAATGACCAAAGGGGCAGGTGGGGTGGAAGGGACACAGAACAGGGCTGACCAGGAGACTGGGTGAGTCTTGGGGCAGAATTTGGAGCTCCTGGCTACCAGTCTTTTCTATCCCTTTGCCTCTGATGCCCCCTCTCAGCCTTCTCCCTCCTCACTCATTTGACCTACATATACCCAGGACTGACAATGTTCCGAGCACTGCACCTGACACTCACTCTACTTACTAAGCCTTCGGCCATGATTGCTATCCTGCCGTCCATTCCATCATGCCTTCATTCAACAAGCAGTTATTGCGCGTTAGAACATGTTCAGTAAAAGCCCTGGTTGCATAGGTGCTTCTCCAGGTCCGCAGTTCGAAACCACCAGCTGCTTTGATAGGAGAAAGACGAGGCTTTCTACTCCCATAAAGAGTTACAGTCTCGGAAACACACAGGGGCGGTTCCATGGGGGTTGCCATGAATGGGCATCGACGTGATGGCAGCGAGTTTGGTTTGGGATAACATGCTCAGCGCCAGGGATTCAGCCAGGAACAAGACAAACAGCCCTACCCCTTTGAGAACTGAGACCCCAGCCACGAGGGCAGACAATGAAGCCCAAGAGCTGAAGGCAGGGGGTGAGTGAGGTGCTGGGGGACTTAGCCCAGGCTGCACCTGAGCCCAGAGGGAGCGGGACAGCTCCCTGGAGGGGGCCCCTCCTTGGACAGGC